ATGAAGCATGAAGACAGAACCAAGGCGGTCCCAAAACATGAACATTTCCAGTTCAAATCATGGCCAAACGATGCTAGCATGGTGGACAAAATAGCATGCAATCTTGACTAGCAATCATGGTTTACATGGAAAGTATATGAAGCAAATGTAATCTCACCAAACCAGCAAAAATCAGTGAATAAATCATGTGAAAATAGGCCCAAATAACCACTGATATGCAACCATGGTATGCAAAAATAATGAGTTACTTTGGAGGGCAATGCAAGGAGTTATTAAGCACATGCAAGGTAGACATTTACCGTGACATAAACAACTATGAAAATCAAATATGGTAGTCCTAAAACTCACCAAATTGACCCTGGAAAGTGACTTCGAAGCATGCAAGGTAGGGTCTCTTTGGAAGGCCAAAAAGGCCACCAAACAAGAGAAGGAGAGAGGGGGTCACCCCCCTCTAATCTTGGCTCTCAAAATAGTGTTCCAGCCACTGAAAATCCACTGGATTTCAGTGGCTAGAAGAAAAGGATGCATTGGCGGTCTTTAGTGTAAGGCTCAAAACAAGGGACAATCAAGCATACAAGGAAGCATGTGATCTCAAAATAAAATAATGCCCTTAATAAAACATGAATATGATGTCAAAAAACAAGCCTTTTTCCAGTTTTATAACAAGCCTCAAAAAATGAACATTAAATAGGGCTAATCTATTCATGCAAAAATGGCCCTAAAAGAGAGAATAGAGACAAGGGATAGAATCTGCGCCCAAACAGTGAAGAGCCCTTCAACAAAGTTAAACAGAGGCTCAAAATAAAGTACTTTATAGTTTATGATCAAGTCCAAAACAGCTCACAAGTAGGCTACAATATGATGTAAAAAAGGCCCTAAAAGAGAGATAGAAAGCAAGAGGCAGTAGCTGGCCTCAAACAGTGAAGAGACCTTCAACCAAAGTTGAATAGAGGGCTGAAAATGAATCACTTTACAGTTTGTCTTGAAGCCCAAAAAATGCTTACAAACAGGGCTAACATATCATGCAAGAAATAGCCATAAAGAGAGGATAAAGGGAAAGGGGTAGCAGGTGGCTTCAAACAAAGAAAAACCCTTGATCAAACATGAAGATAAGCTCAAATAAGACCATTTCCAGTTTGGTTGGAGCCCAAAAATGCTAGCAAATATGGCTTAGATATAGAGCAAAATAAGGCAAGAAAAGAGGAGAAGAAGACTTACCCTTGAAGACCAAACTTTAGCAGCTTTTGGACCAAATTTCTGAGGCTCTCACCTCTTCCCTCTGGAAAACAGCCTCAAGTTGTTGGAATGGAGGATGGAGGCCTTGTGCTATGGGTTGGTGTGTAAATGGCCAAGAACCAATGGTGTTTTGAGGCTTGGAAGAGAGGGAGAGGGAGGATTGTATGTAATGGCCCTAAACAATTTTTTGTAACCCTTAGAAATGAAGGGGAGAGGCTGGTTATATAGAGGGAGAGGGGTGGAAAAAAGGGGGGAAAAACTAATTCAAATTTCCCCCCAAAAGGGAAGACCTTCGGACAGTGGGTCAAATGCAGAATAGCTGGCACAGCTGGAATACACTTGGAGAGAGGATCATGGCCGGCCAGGTTCAAAAGGTTCAGGGGGCCGGCTGGCCACCCCCCATGGCCGGCCGGCCAGGGGTCAAAAGGGTCAATCAAAATTGGTGGCCGGCTACCCCAAAAAGGTGGCTTCTCATGTGTACACAACACAAATATGTAGTCAAAACTCAGAAAATATGAACCAGGAGAGAGAAAAGCCAACTTTTTAGAGGGGTTCAAAAGGGTCAGAGACAATTACTGGCCGGCCTATTCATATTGGTGGCCTCCCAGGTGTGTACAACACAAATATGGGGTTTAGGGCTAAAGAAAGTGGCCCGGGAGTGGTCAACATTAGCTTTCTAGTGAGGAAAACGGGCGACAGAGAGCGATAAAGAAATAAAACTGGCTTTCAGAAAAATTGCTGGCCTCCCACCTTCCTACAAGCTTTCTAACAATGAAAATAAGGTCTCCACCAAAAATGAACCCAAACCGATGCAAAACGAAGGTTCGGGGGCCAAAATGCACAGCCCGGGGCCCGAAGAACTAACTGCTAAGCACCGGAGATGGCGTTCGACCACGAAGTTGGTCTCTCGGGCCACAGTGTTCCTCAAAAGGGAGGAAATAAGGTGTATGCCGAAAATCGGAGTAAACGGAGGTGGTTAGGCGGTCCCGAACCGAGGCACACGGCCGTCGGCTCCGAAAATCAGAAACTGGGCTCCAAATGGAAAAACTGGCCTACGGCCGCGAAACGTAGCCTACGGCCACTGAGAGATGGTCTACGAGACCTCTCCCTCCCTTCGGGAAGAGAAGACAGAAAAAACAGGACCTGGTTCGCAAACTGAGGCAAAGAACAAAAGAGCCCCGAAGTCCGGAGGCAAGGCTCGTAGCCGAGACTCCGTAACCTCAGAGCGAGCACCATATTCATCATCACCGAGCGCTCAATCAGTGACGTCTGAGTCTTACGGTCGGTCAAAAATGGGGTGTCTACAGTGATCTTAGCTCAAGCGATCTTTTGCAGGTCTAAACTTCTATGAGGGGTCATTGTCACCTCGAGCGGTGTTTTGGTCGCTCGAGCAGTGTCCTTTATTATTTCTGACGCTTGAGCTGTGATTTGGTGGCTCAAGCGGTCTATGCGTATATCAGTTTGGGAAAATGGGGTTTTTATAACCTTTTTACTCTCTCTTTCTCTCTCTAAAACACCCCTAACCCTAATTTCTTCACACACTCTCTCTAGTTCTTACTTTAAAACCTCAAATACACCCTCACCTATTGATTTCTCTACCATAGTTCCTTGGAGAAAAAGGTAGAGCTCGTCAAAAGTTTCATTTTAATCGGAGTGGATCTCGTTTTCGATTTTGTCAAACACTCACCCATGAGCTCTCCCTCTTCTACGCATAAGGTATGGATTTCTTAAACCTTGGTATGATTCTTAGCTTAACCATTTGCTCTTTGAAATGGCTTAGTGATTTGGGGATTTTGGGTTTAAATCTAGGGTTTAATTTTGAAATGTAAAAGGAGGGATTTTTCAATTAAACTCTTGAGAAAAGTTGTGGGTGTGTGAATATTGTTGGGTTGAGTTGAAATGTTAGAAATACCTTCCTTAAATATGATTTTAAAGAAGGTTTTGTTAGAAATCATGAATATTTGATTTGTGAAAGAAAAAGAAAAGATGTTGGATTTTGAAAAGATAAGATGATTGTATTTGTTAATGATAAGAGTGGAGTTGGGTATGCATGATTGCTCCCATTTCGAAATTTATGAGGTTATATCTATTGTTGAAAAACTACCTGTTGAATAAAAATATCTATTTTGGACTATCAGTGGAGAATAACTTTGAGTGATGTAGAAATTACATGAGGATTAGGTTAATTGAAACTAATTGCTCACACATCTTGCATTGATCATTATTTCCTACTTAACATTGGAAATGTATTATTTTGAGAAAAAATTGGTGTATACCTTGGTGAATTTGGCTAAAGGGTGTGGTTGTGGTTTATCACATTGACCAATGTGTCCTTGGTGAAAATTCAGAAACGTGTGCACTTATCTTTCCAGTTAGTACCGGTAAAATGGCTTTGATAGTACTTGTGTAGCCTACTGGTAGACACATACCTAGAGATTCTCAGTGTTTTCTATCCACTACCTTGTTTTTTGATATAAAAGAATATTTTCATGAATTAATACATAATATTGACATTGCATTATTTTGAGATGGAAAAGTATAATGTTGGGTAAATGGCATATAGATGTATTCACCTTATGACTTTGTTAAGTTTCATGCATCGTGTTTAAATGTTTTTATTGAGCCTTAGCTTACCCTACATGGAAAACAACTTTCAGTTGTTGATGATATGCCTCCACCAAGGACATAGCTTATGAGGACTTGGAGCCGAGAGCTTCTTTTTGTTTCCTTGTGTAATTATTTTTGTACAAGCATCAGGCTTTGTATATTGAGTTTTAACTCACTTTTATTGTAATCAAGTAATGATTTGGAAAGATGTAATCATTAAGGATTAAACTTACTCGTACTTCATTTTATTTTCATTCATTTACACAGGTTATATGCTATAAATTCAAGGTCTAGGATTTATGAATGTATAAATGCATATGTCGTCTTTTGTACACGAAAATGAAATCAATGAAAGATTAATATTTTATAAATTCTTGCTTTCTATTGGATATCATGAGGTAGATAGTTATAAATTATGGGACGTTACATTGCATTTGAAGGTGTGTACCTAACATAACCCAAAAGTAAAAACTGATAGAAAATCAACTAAAAAAATTTAAGTTATAACTAAAAACCACATGAGGTAATGGTAACTAAAAGTGTATATTATACACACTAAAGGGTAGTAATTAAAAGTGTATATGATACACACCTAGAAGGGGTGTATACCATAAAATTAATTTCTATATATATATATATATAATTTTTTTTCCATGCAATTGATTAATTATGAACATTTTGAAAAGTCAACAAAGATAAATTTAAAATTTTAATTATGAAAATTTAGTTAAAATTTCTTCATTGGACCATTGTTTAGTGAAAATGACAACTTAATTTATTTTTCTTCATAAAAAGAAAATTGATGAAAAATTCACTCTAGCAATTGTCTAAAGCATTAGGTACGGTGATTTTTTATTATTATTATAATTATTATTTTTTGTGAGAGGTCCACACTTTGTGAAATAGTCTGGTGAAGTGCTAGATAACATTTTATTTCCAATTTTACCCATTGCCTTTTTTATTTGTTTGACTTTTCATTGGCTATCTGTTCAAATTATTTTCTATCTATTCAAATTTTTTCTCTATTTATTCAAATTTTTTTTGTCTATCTGTTGAAATTCAAAGTGTGATTTGTTGAAATACCAAGCCAATTTTTCATGTTTGTCTATTTCTATATGTTAAATTTTGTTGTTTTTATTGGTGTTTGAATCGTGTAGGAACAATTACTAACTAATGTGAATAATAGGATGCAAATGAAAACAAAACATAGATGTGGATCAAAATCAATCCCGGTCAGGGTGCACAGCTCGGTGTGTTCTGCTATTTTATTTTATTGGATTAGTAGGCTTTGTTATTTAAATATTTGAAATAACATTCAAAAACAAATGAATCAGATAATTGCAAATGGAGAAGTTCCTGATTTGGCAAAGTTTTACAAGTCCATCCACTATAATTCGAACACACATGAATGGATTTCGTCGGAGAGCCAAGCTAATTATGTATGTACAAGGCAATGCATATTAATTTTGATAAAATTATTTATTTGCTTTGTAGGGTAGAATAACTAATAATTGTTCGATTTATTTTAAATTAACAGGACAACATGATAAAGACGCAAGCCGAACACCTCTCGCAGACTGGTGTGATCCCTTTAAGCCAAGAGGAGTTGTCAGTTAAGGTGCTTAAGCCAAGGTCAGGTCATGTGAAAGGACTCGGCTTGAGGCCTTCTTCTTCTATGAAGACTACTGTTGTACCTGCTGAAAATAGTGACTATGTTCAACGCCTTGAGATGCAAATAGCATAG